ACCACGCCAGCCTGACCTTCAGCCGGGTGTAAAGGTCGGGCCGGCAAGCAGAGGGTGGAGGCACCGGCCTCACTTACCGAAGGCCGACTGGGGAAGGCTGGCAGGGCAGCGAGCAATCGTGGCACTGTGGCACCAGGGAAGCTGCTGGCACTGCCACAGTCCCCCCTGGCAGTTCTCACCCAGTACCCTTGAATTTTTTTCCCTGGGTACATTCTGCAGTTACGTCCCCACGTTCTGGTGAGAGGGGACCAGTCTCACCTCTGCTGTAAGACTTGCTTGGAAAGCCTTCTCCACGACCCAGCAGTTTAGATGTGGTTTGGGTTGGTTTGTTTTTTGCCTTTTTTTTTTTTCTTGTGAACTGGTGTGCAGCAGTGGAGGCAAGTACTCGCTGCAGAGTGGAGCCGCAGCAGTGCAAGGGGTTATGCAAGCTGCTGCCTGGCCTGCAGAGCTGCAGAGCAGAGATGTAGCCGGAACAACACACTGCTGAGAAATGCACTGTGGGCTGCGTTTGAGAGCCAGACCCTCACTGTGCAAGGGGAGAGGCAACTCACTGCAGATGCACGCAGGGCTGCAGTGCAGTTTGGCATTTCCTGACTTTCCAGCCCTTCACACTCTGCAGCTGGACCTGATTGGGCATCCCCCTCCCACACAGAGCTGCCAAAGATGCATTTTTACTTAAAGACTTAAAAAAAAAGCAATACACACAAAACCCACCAAATTGCACAGAGAAGCTCCACATGAAGTTGCTTCCTTTGCCACAGGACATGCAGAGGTGCCACACGCCAGGCAGGGTTAGCTGCTTCATGCAAAGGTCACCAGACCCCCGCTGACCCTGGCTGCCCCATGCCAAGGGGCACCCACTACCCACGCCTGCCTTCCTGCTAGCAGAGGGAAATGCAGAAGTGGCCAGGCATGGGCAAGGCTTATTTTATAAGAAAAGTGAATTCTGACACCAAAGCAGCACTGTTGCACTTGCTGACCTGCGCCAGGGTTTTAAGGAGCTCCTGGCAGAAGGAGGTGAGCTTCATCCCACCCTGCATCTCTCGCACCACACCGGGGTAGACCACGGCATCTGTGGCACAGCTCATTCTGCCCCAGGATGCCCATGAGCTCTTAGGTGAGCATCCCTCAGAAGTGAGTACAGCTGCTGTGTAAACCCTCTTTGGTACAGAAAGCTATTTATTTCCCCCAGAAAGCTGCTGAGCTGGGTGGTACAAGCCCTGTCCCCAGCAGAGTCATCCCAAACCGCACCAGGGGCACAGACTCTCTGCACACAACACACTGAGAGGACCACTGCTCCCTGCCAGATGGGCTCACATCCCTCCCGCAACACCCTTCTCCATGAGAAGTCCACTGCGGAGGACACATGGCCTGGGATCAGGCAGGTAGCAAAGAGCAGAAGCAAGTTTAGCTGCCACTGGCATCAGGGCGGGGATGGTGGGAGGGCAATCTTTGTGTGCCGCTGCCCTGGCAGCAACTGCATCCCCTTCATGCAACCCAAGGGCAGAGCTCTCAAATGCCCCCACCTCAGCCAGGGTACTGGGACTTTCCAAATTTTGCTGGAGCAGTCATGCTGCTTGGAGGGGCTGGCAAAAGCCTGCCGGCATAACAAGAAGCACAAGCCAGGCTGGATACAACAAACTGATGAACAACACATGGGCTGCTCTGGCTTTATCGCCCAGAGAGCAAATATAATCCCATCCTAGGAAGGGTCTCCCAAGGAGCCACCAACACATGCTCACTACAACTGCGGTAGGGCGCAGGGCAGAGGAGCAGCCAGCCCCAAAAGCAAACCTTCCTCCCAGCACAGGGGAGGCAAGGTTACCCTGGGATGCTCCCAGCTGCTACCGCTGCCCCCCTTATCTGTATGCTAGAGCAGCCTCCAAGACAATTACCAGCAAATAACCCCCACAGCAAGCAGCGCCTGCCTTTACTCCCTGGCTCACAGCCACGTTGCCTTCACACCCTGGAAGTAGATCTCCCGCACAGACGAAACTTGTCCGGGAAACTTGTCCACAGCACAGTGGGAAGGTGAGCCACAGCGGATGCCCACCTCCCTGACATTCCCACGGGACCCAGGTGGGGACAGACTCAGGACACACTTATCAAGACTGAAAAATATGCAACAGGTGACCAAGCATCTCTTGCCGCAAGTGCCACCATGGTGCTGCACCACACGCCAGGAGGGACAGGACATTTGCTGTTCCCACTCAGCAACTCTATAAAACCACCACTCTACCCTCCTGACGCTTTTCTCTTCCTAGGGTGCAGGTACTCCCAGAGCTGGGCCTGATCCTGCAATGCGGAGTGAGCTCGGCACCGGGAGCAGGACATAGCCCTGCATGCTTGAGTGCATGCAGGTCGCAGGCCATTAAGATCAGGCAGGGATCGCCTGCCTGCACCGAGGATCCCCAGCACCAGCACATGCTCGTATGGTGCATCTGCAAATACACCCAGTGGTGCCAAGATGACAGTAGGTCTCCAGTTGATTTCTGGGCATCAGGAGAGAGTGCAAGGGGAGAAGGTGCTGGCAGGAAGGGGAGCTGCATGGGAAAACAACCTGCAAGCATGCATAAAGCCTCGTGTGCATGTCCTGCTCTCTCTGGCACACAAACCCACTTGTCCAGGGCCAGGCCAGCTCCACTGGGCTATCAGCAGAGCTCCAGCCCAGCCACCTGCAAAAACTATCCCCAGCTCCATCCTTCCCCTCCAGCCCAGCATTTTATTGCCCTGACCCTGCATGCCTTCCAGCTATGGGGTTAAACTAGACACCTCCCTGCACAGGGCACATGTGTTGCAGACTCAGGTGAGTGGAACGGAGCACAGCCATAGGGAAAGCTTGGAGGCCTTTAAAAGTCACCATGCAGCCCTCATGCTTCCCTTTCAGTGGCCAGCTCACAGAAATGCCATCAGGTGATTTTTTGTATTTTCCAGTGAGGAATACCAAGGCTTTGTTGCGTGGAGTGTGAGGAGCGGGAATTGATAAACCCAAATGATGGTGACAGCAGCAGGCAAAGGTCAGGGGGAGAACTGTTCAAAGGGAAGGGACCTCACAAACAGCTCAGAGGCACCATCACAGGGAGCAGCCTCCTCCTCCTCGATAGCACACAGCAGTGGTCAGAGGCACTGTGCCAGGTACAGGCGGTCAGAAGAAAAGCAGGACAGCAGCTCCTCTTTCTATCCTTCCCCCAATTTTGTCTTTGCTTCTTTCCACTCCTAGTGCCTGGCAGGACCCAACACGGAGGGCACCTCATCCCCCAAGGCCTGCGTAAGCAGCCTCCCTGCTCCTCGGAGCCCCAGTGAGGTCAGATGCAGAGCACGAGTGCACTCATTCAGCATCCCACAGGCAAGCCCTACCCATGCTTGCATATGAGAGACAGGTGCCATCCTCCACCTCTGCTAGAGGGAGGAACATCTCAAAGCCCCTTTCCGCCAGCGTCTCCTTTGAGCATCCTACAATCCAGCTCTTTTTCCACAGGCACGATGCACATAGAAAAAGCAAACATTTGTGAGCACGTGTCCCCTTGAGGGGACCCAGCCTCACCTGCACCTGAGGCTCACACCAGCCAGGGAGACCTTTCTCCTTGGCTCCCAGGCCTTCAAGGCTCTGGAGCACAGAAGTCAACTCCCAAGATAAAACAGTCTGTTTCACAGCAGCAATGCTGCCTCCCAGGATGGCTGCAGCCCGTGTGCCAGGTGCTGCTGCCTGCACGTGCCAAGAGCCATCATGGACCTGGAAAGCCACCGGCTACAAAGCACTGACGTTTCAGCCTTGGTCTAAAGGAGTTTCAAAACATTTTGTCCTGTCTGACATTTAGGAACCACTCTTGAGTTGGCGCCTTTGCCAAATTTCTAGTGGCAAAGGGAGCCAGAAATACAAGAACGTTAAGTGCTTCCTGGAAAGAAAGAAAAAAAAAAAAGCCAAAACAAACAAACCCCACACCCACAGCACACCTCTGAGCAGCACTAATGGCTCTGCATCCCAACGGCCTCTACCATGGGATGAAGGAGGAACAGTGGGGATAAGAACCCTCAGGACACTGCCCAGCAATGCCACCAAGGAGACAGAAGGCAAAGGGCAGATATGAGGGGTGGCACGCTGGCCTCAGCGGAGAGGATCAGAGCTGCCGGGAAAGAAAAGCAGCTGTGCCCAGGACAGATACCTTCATCGGAGGACGTGAATTGCCATATTCTGGCACTCGGGACACGGCAACAGCGTGGCAGCAGCCCCAGGAGCAGCACCTAGCCCCTCGCTCGCCGACGGGGTGCCCTCCCCAGCGCTCGCTCTTCCAGCCTTTCAGGGGAGGCTTCAGCCCCGCCAGCCCGGGGAGGGTTTCGGTAGGCAGC